AAATGCTGTTTTATTTGCTCAAACCAACTGTGCTACAGAGCAAAATATCTACCTTATATTAGACTTTCTCATTATTTATTTCAACAGTTGGGCCATCTGCAGTTCTGATCTATATTTGGTCACTGGACCCAGATGGTTCTGGAGAAGAAAGTGAGGCTGGTGACTTTGTATAGCCCTCCCTCCTTCCCTCAAATACAATTCATTAGCAAGTCATGGCATCATCTTCCTGGCGTCATGGTCCTCTTTGAGAGGAAGAACGAACTACAACCTGTGAGGAGTCTGAGCTGCCCCACAGGGGACCCAACTGGCCAGTTCCAGTCAGGCAACACAACTCCCCACATGAGGTATCATGCCCTTACCTGAAGGTGTTCTGCCCAAAGGAAGGTAAATTGTGATGGCCGAAATCTATCTTGAATTCTTGGGGTTTACTGGCTAGATATCTTTCTTAAATATGAAGCCTTAAATCCAATTCACTCTGGCTCTAATTGATTGACCAACCATAAGTCCCTTCCCAAGCACCACTTAATGGTTATTTTTTTGGGTCCTGATGGCTCAGAGTGAATGTAAATAGTAATTGTTTCTCTTTTAGGCAGTAATTGTTTGGTCTCTTTTGGAAGACCCTGAGGTCTTCCCTTCTTGCTTTGTTTGTTTTTTGTTTGTTTGTTTTGGATTAAAGGGACCATCCTTTAAACAGCCCTAATTATACTGAATGGGCATTGCCTAAATCAAAGTGAGAATTCAGGAAAGACCTTAGCTGAAAAAGGCCAATGTCTCCCTCTGCTTCGTGGGCCATTTCCAATTGTCCTGATAGATATCTGGCCACTGAACTCAGATGGTTCTGGAGGAGAAAGTGAGGCTGGTGACTTTGCACAGCCCTCCCTTACTCAAATCCACTCTTGCAAGTCATTGCATCATTTTCCAGATGTCATGGTCCTCTTCAAGAATGAAGGACAAACCACAATAATTTATTTCAACATAACTTTCTAATTGTTTGTCATGGTTTTATTATATTTTGAGATCAAATGGAGTTTCCTGGAATTGAAAAAATTATTCAAATTAATTATGTTTTAAGTCACTTGAACTGATTTACACTGCTGAATCAGCAAGTCCAGGATTTGTTGGATTCTCTACTTTTGATACTCCTGCTCAAAAGAATAACTCATTGGCCTTAGTTATCCTAGAAGCTAATAAGGCTATTTGGCTCATTTAGGAGAGCATACATTATGCCAATGAAAAGATGAGCCTGTACTTCCGACACAAAGAGATGTCCTTTGGTGACTGTATTGATCTCAGAATATAATGTTGGAAATAGAATAATAGTTCCCTTTGGTGTTGTACTTTAAAGCTGACAAAATACTTTCCTCAGAGCAATTCTATGAGTGAGGTTGTCCAGATATTGTGCACACTTTCTCGCTCTGTCTCTCTTTCTCTCTATATAAATATGTATATATTTTACTAATGCAAAATGACAGTCTACAAAATGTTTAGAAGAAACATCAATGGGGATACACTTCCCTCTTGCCTTTCCTTTTGCCTTTCCCCCATATCCCATCAGGCAGTGACAGCATTATGATTATTCATACCACTTGGTTAAGCTTGGGGTTATTCAACTACAACAAATGAGATGGAGGGCCCTAGCATAACTCAATAACACCTTGGATTTGCCATCCACCCTGCACCGCAACCTTAGGACTTCTGGGCCGTTCCATCCATCATGAAGTTAAGTTATCTTGAATATGTTGTGTCCCCCAATTAAAGTGTGAGTTATGAGAGCACGGACTATGTATTTTTTCTTCTATCTCTAGTGCTTAACATAGTGCTTGTCACTGAGGAAAATAAAATTATTCTGTATTTTAAAAAATTGATTCTTTCTGTAATTGACCCTATTCTGTACTTCTCCATTTAAAAAAATTTTTTTTCTTTATGCAGTTGGGGTTAAGTGACTTGCCCAGGGTCACACAGCTATTAAGTGTCAAGTGTTTGGTCTGAGGCCGGATTTGAACTCAGGTCCTCCTGACTTCAGGGCCGGTGCTCTATCCACTGTGCCACCTAGCTGCCCCTGTACTTCTCCATTTTTGAGTTAAGCTTAAGAGTGCAGCTTTCCCTTGAAGTTATTTTAAAGGTGTGGTTGAAAGGATAATTTATCATTCATGTAATTAGTCTCTAGGACATCTGCTTGTTTTCTGTAAGCCCCATCCAACTTAAGTTGGTCCCCTGCCCCCAATACACACACACACACACATACATACACATGCACAAAGACATGTCATCTGTCCTTGTGCAATTAGGGGAGGTTTGATCAACCTCAAGGGGATCACAAGCTTACCTTGTTGTACTGATCCCCTGGCCAAGATTACAAGAAGCAGATGAGTCCCATAAGATAATTAGCATTCCTTAATTGTCAGAGAGGGGCATGATTAGTGAAACCTAAACGCCTACCAAGTTCGACTGCCCAAAGCCCCTCCTTTCCTGCATGTCATTAAAGAGGGTCCTCCCTTCTCATTGGGGTCTCTGGCCTTACTGAAGTGGCCAGACTGACCCACTCTGTTAAATTTAACAGAGCCTAATTAGACATATCACTGTTAATAAACTGATTTTCCTCAGAGTATGTCCCTCAGTTTACTTTTATTGAATTTATTCATGACATCACATATTAAACATTTAATAATTTTTTTTCATTCATTCATTCATTCATACATTCATTCATTTATGGAGATAGTGCTGGTCTTGTAGTCAAGAAGACTATTATAGGATTATAGAGCTAAAGCTAGAAAAGATTGTAGATTACATCCAGACTATATCCCTCATTTTGCAGATGAGGAAATTGAGGCCCAGGGAAAGTTAAAGATTTGTCCAACGTCACACTAGTAATGAGCGTCAGAGGTGCAATTTGAACCTAAATTAACTGTTTACAGAACCAGTGTTCTTTTGACTACAACATACTGACGTTACCAACACATGCTAGCTCTTTGCCTCAACTACATCCCCTAGGCAATTCCTTCTTCAATTCAACAAAGGTTGAGTACATATTTATTAAATGCCTGTTATGTACACATAGGCACTGTGCTGAGTACTAAACTTTCTAAGATTATATAAGCTGCAGAGAGGTTACTAACCTGAATGAGTGGAAGGAATTTCCACATGGGGAGATGGCTGCACAGATGAAATCACATCTCTCCCACACATAGAAGGATTTGGGGAGTTTATATAAAATGCATAGGATGAATAAATCCACACTGCATTTCACTGCATATCAGCTTGCCCTGCATTTATTTCTAAAACCGCTAACTGTAGTCTTTGGTTCTACTGTATTTTTACTTCAAAAACTACTATCCCCAGTCTTGGGATCCACTGTGTATTTGGGATATTTGTTAAGTTGTTAAATCATTTTTCAGTTGTACCTGACTCCCTATGACCCCATTTGGGGTTTCCTTGGCAGAGACATTGGAGTAGCTTGCCATTTCCTTCTCTAGCTCATTTTTACAGATGAGAAACTGAGGCAAACTGGGTTAAGTTATTCGCCAAGGGTTACACAGTTAGCAAGTGTCTGAGGCCAAATTTGAACTCGTGAAGATGAGTCTTCCTGGCTCCAGATCCAGGACTCTATCCACTGCATCACCTAGCTGCCCATTTGGGAACATAAACAACATTAAATGAAGGTTCAAGGCAGTATGGTGTTCTGTGAATCATTTCCATCAACTTTCATCTTTGAAAAATCTTTTATAGGAGCTTAACCGCTTTGTCCAATGTCCTGAAGAATATTTGTGGACATCATAAAAATCATAGTTCACTAAGCACAGTTATTGAAGGTCATAGTTAAATGACTCAAATGCTTAAACCTCAACCAAAAATTATTGGAATTGACTTTGTTACTTATAAGAACAATTGATAGAATCATAACAAAAATGGTATGCTAATGATAACAAATAATAATAGCTAGCATCTATATAGCACTTCAAGGTTTGCAAAGTTACATGTGTGTATGTATATGTGTGTGTGTGTGTGTGTGTGTGTTTTCTTTTTGGATCACATGATTGTATATTGTATGATTATTGCTTATTAGTAAGATTGTCCAAGTTTGAGAGAGAAAAGCTCTCTGGATGAGTGTACAGTTACCATTAACTTAATGTAAGAAAAAAAATCTATTAACATTTTCAGTTACATGACATAGGAATATTCTATCAAATGCATAAATTTAGATTGAGCTTTCTACATATAGTACACATTAATGAATTAAAATTGTGTCCCTTATAGAAAGCATAGGGAAGGTATATTGATAAAATTCAAGAGGAACAATTCTCTTTCTCTCATATGTTTTGTTAGAGTAAAAATTCATAGAAAAGATATCTTTATTATCATTTTAAAAAAAACCCCATCCAATTTAATTTATAGGGTATAATGTTATATGATCCTACAATTGAATAACAAAGCTTCATGTTGGATAGTAAAGTTCATTTCTGTCATCCAAAGCTGATTAATGCATTATCTTTGACATTCTGGTTATACATAAAATAACGACCATTATTTATTTCCTGGCATAAGTACATTACACAAATAATTTTTTTTATTAAAAAATTAGTTTAGCAATATTAGCTCTTTAATCATCAAAGCTTTACATCTAATCCTATGGGCCCAAATGGACAAATGGAGAATTTGGAACTTGGTAAATTAAATGACATACCTCAGTCCACACAAACACATCAATTTTAGATCAAGAAGTGAAACCAAAAGCATTCATTCTAAGAATCTTTTGGATGTTTCATCCATGAATTCATGTTCTGTCTTGATGGAGGTGCTGTACGTTCCAAGCATACAAAGGAACTATGTATCCAGTAAACACTAGTTATTGGCCCAGATTAAAGAAAAAATACTAATTGTGGAAGAGTCTATGAAATTAACTCCAAAATTTTTAATTATTTCCCTTCAATGGAAAGATTTTCTATACGTTTTCCCTATTCAAATAACATAAATGACACGAAAAAAATTGTTTATAATCTTACCTAAGGCTGTTCTTGCTGGTGTGGCATCTTTTTTAATCCAAAAGGACACCCAGGATAAAACGACTGTTAGTATACAGGGAATATATGTCTGAATAGTGAAGTAGCCCATTCTTCTGCTCAAATCAAAGTAAATAGTCATGACTACATAATCACCTGCAATAAAAAAATATGTATTGGATAAGGTGGAGTAAATTAAATTTCATGCATCAACAATGAGTTTAATTCAGGCCAGCAAATTTAATTATCATATAATTTTAATTTATTATAGAGTACATTGCATAGTTCATTCTCATTATGAAAGCTCATGATTATGTCCTTTATTCAGCATTTTGCTATAAATATCTGTTTTATATCCTTCAGAAATCTATTCTGATGTCTCATTAGCACATGAAGTTGACCTGTTTTCTCAAAAGTAATATCAGTAGATTTTAAACTTTGGCAGGATCTGCCTTACTGAAAAGACTTTGAATAAAAGTCCAGCAATAGATTGAGTCTACTTTCTAAGGGTCACCTTAACTATATACAGTGAGATTTATAAACAGCAGTATGACCTCCTCGGTGGTAAAAGGTCAGAAAAGCAGGCAAAGGCCTCCAAAGAAAGCAAAGAAAGAAGAACTCCAATAGATAGAAGAATGTTTATATCAGCTCTTTTTGTAATAGAAAATAACTTTAAACTAAAGGAATGTTCATCAGTTAACAAATGGATGAACAAATTCTGATAAATTAATAGAATGGAATGCTATTGTGCTATAAAATATTATGCTGGAGACAGTTTCACAGAAACCTGAGAAGACTTGTCTGAACTGAGTCAGAGGAAAGTGAACGAAATTAGGAGAACAATTCATTTTATGATAATAACATGGTAAAAATGAATGATTTTTTATTAATAACCCTGATCAAGGAAATGGTCAATCATGATGCCAGAGGAATGATGATGAAGAATACTGCCCACCTCCTTATAGCATGGTGATGGACTAATTGTAACATCAGACACACAAGTTTGGATAGAGGCTGTGTTAAAATTGTATCTTGTTCTGGTCCCCCACCCCCTCTCCCTTTTCTAGTCAGTAGAGTAAGTAAGTTAGTTTATTTATTTATTTGTTTATTTTTTGTGTGGGGCAATTGGGGTTAAGTGACTTGCCCAGAGTCACACAGTTAGGAAGTGTCAAGTATTTGGTCTAAGGTCAGATTTGAACTCAGGTCCTCCTGATTTCAGGGCCGATGCTCTATCCACTGCACCACCTAGCTGCCCCTAGTAAGTAAGTTTATATGTAGTCGGTATAAAGGGACAATAGCAGAAAATAAGAATGTAAAACTGGACCTGAGAGTCAAGTACAAACTGTGCCAAAGATCCTACAATCTATATCATGTATTAGCCAAAATTCACATCCTGGTAATATGTTCTGAACAAGCAGAAGCCTCTCAGGTACTTCTGTCAAGGAATTTTGGTCTTATGACATGCAAATTCCAGACAAATTCTAGACTTTCAAAGTTCAAGACCAGTAGAACATCAAAGAGTTCTGGAACTTAGGTAAGACATGGATATGTTAACATTGAAGTTTTACCAATGACCTTGAGATGATCTGTATTGGATATGTTAATGAACTAACCCAAAGGTGGTACAGATAGAAGTTGGTCTGTTTCTCCAAAAAGCCCTATAAAAATGAGACCTCAATTCTCTACCCCCTCATCTCCAGCACTCTTCCATCCCCTTCAGGTCCATGCTGCCTAGTGCTCCAAGCTCTAATCCATGGTTACTTGAGTGATTATTTGTGCCTCTCCCCCTGCCCAATGCTACTTGTTTCCCTTTATCATCTTATCCCCCCCATCCACTCTCTGCCTCTGTATCCTTTCATTGCTTGTCTTTGCACCTCTGTGCCTCATTAAAGTATGATTTCCCAATGCCAGTCATGGTTTTTCCCAGCCAGTATTCAAAGAACTGGGAGTGTTTGCCTCCATTTCCTAATTTCATAAATTAATTATAAATTCAGAGGTATTAAGAAAATTTGCTTTGCTTTGATATCCTTATTTGTTACAATGATTTTGCTTTTATTTTTTTTTATAGTGTGGTAGGGGTAGGTAAGAATAAGAAAAATAAATGCTGGATAGTGGTGGGGAAAGTAATTAAAATAAAAGAACAGAGGTAAGGGCAGGGGCTAAAAATTGAGATCAGGTGAAGTACACAGTAAAGAAAGTCGTGCTGGAGGTAACATAATCCTGAAAATACAGAGGGAACAGTTTACAAAATAACATAGAGAGAGAAAGATAGCAAAATAATAATAAAAATCATAGGTAATATTAAATAACCAAGGACATCCATATCTGTCAAATCATACATACTTTCTTACCTCTGCAAAATCTTAGTAAGCAAGATCTGTACTCATTTCTAGAGTTTCCTTGATGAAAATATGAAAAGGAACCAGGAAGGCTATGTTTGGGAAATTATTTTCTATTGCATACTGTGATTTACAGTTACAAAGCTGACTTAAAGAGACAAAGAATACAGGATCCTCCTGTGTTTGTTTTTTGTTGATTACAAAAACACATTTGATTTGGAGCAAAAATCAGTCTTAAGGTTCCTCCTCTAGTGAAATTTTCTCATGCATATGTTAAGATTCTTGGTAAATACAACCAGAGGGATAACTATGTTCAGTAATTTTCTATTAATGTCAAACAAGGCATTAATCAGAGAAATTTATACTTGCCAAAAGTGTTTGCCATGGTAATTGATGGTGTCTCATGCAAAGTTCAAAAGGTAGAGGAATTCTCTATGGATGTTAAGGTCAAAGCATCAACAGGATTTTATATTTAGAGTTGGAAGATATCTTAGAGGTCATCTACTCCAAATTTTCCTTTTACAGGTAAGGAAACAGGTCCAGTGAGGACTAGTGATTTGTCCTAGGTCACACTGGGAGAAAAATGGCACAGCTACATAGGGTTTGAATGTGAAATCCCTGACTTAAAGCCATGGACTCTTTCCACAATGCTGCCTATCAAAAACTATTGCTCATAGAACTACCAAAAGTGACTTTCTCAGGGTCACACAGCTAGTAAGGGTCAGAGTTGAGATTTCACCTTTCAACTCCAAAATTTTCCTGGATCCAACTCCAGATACTCCTGCTCGTGGATGATATTGTGATAACTATGAAATCATGATAAAGAATGTAATAGGGCCTTTTCATGAGTATTTAAAAAAACCAACCTAACAATTTATACATAATAATCTTTATTAACAGCAAGTAGGACATATAGTGGAAAGATCACTGGGCTTGAAGTCAGGAAGGATCTAGAACTGAGTTCAAATCTAGCTTCATGTTCTGGGAGCCAAGATGGCAGAGTAAGAAGTAAGTTGCTCTTACCATCCCTTATTAACCTATGAAAACCCAGAAAATATCACCCCAGGAAAAACCCTGGAAAACCAGAAGAAAGATGGGGTACAGCAGTCCAGTAGGGATTAATGGGAAAGGCCCCTCTTGGCCTGGGGAAAGGGGAGCAGTACAGAAAGGGAGGCATCCCAGCAAGCTAGTGGAAAGCCCCACCTCAGCATACCAGGAGGAGATCCTGAAACCCAGGTGGTAGAGCAGGCAAACACCAACACCTGGACCCCTGAGTGCCTCAGTGAGGGCAGGGGAACTGGTGGAAATCAGCTTAGAAATCCACCAGGTGCCTCAGCATTCTACAGCAACTGGGTCTCCCAGTGCCTCAACAAAACTAAGGGAAGCAGCTCTCCAAGGGGCTCCAGGTGGATAAACATCCTGCAACATCCATCTGAAAGGAGCTGAAGAAAGTGAAAGGAAGGAAAGGCCCAGATGAGCAGGAAATCTCCAGGGGTCATACTACCCAATCCTACTACTAGAGTTCCAGTGTTGTTGATTACAGCCCAATACCAGGTAAGCTGTAGAACCCTACAGACTCCAACTGCCAACATTAGAGGCCCCAGTACACAAAGCCAGTCACCAAGGCCCTAGGCTCCCAACACAAGAAGCTGGGGTCAGTGCCCTCTGCTCCCCAGAAGGAGAGCTTGATCTCTTTAAAGGCCAGGAAATAAGCCAACACCATGAGCAAAAAGAAACATACCATAGATTCTTATTATGGGAAGAGTGAAGATCAAGGCAGAAATCCTGAAGAGGACAACATTGTCAACAAACCCACATCTGGAAACTCAAAAGGGAATATGAACTGATCTGAAGCCCAAAAAGCCTTAGAAGAGATCAAGAAGGATTTTAAAAGTCAAAAAGAGAGGTAGAAGAAAAAATGGGAAAAGAAATGAGAGGTATGCAAGAGAGAGTCAATAGCTTGGAAAAGGAAGGACAAAAATTAACGGTAGAAAACAAATCCTTAAAAAATACAATTGGCCAACTGGAAAAAAAGTACACTGAAGAAAACAAGTCCCTAAAAAATACAATTGGCCAAATGGGGAAGGAGGCACAAAATCTAATAGGAGAAAATAATTTGTTAAAAATTAGAATTGGGCAAATGGAGGCTAATGACTCTATGAGAGAGCAAGAATCAGTCAAAGAGAAACAAAAGAATGGAAAAATAAATGAAAATGTAAAATACTCATTGGTAAAACAACTGACCTTGAAAATAGGTCCAGGACAGACAATTTAAAAATGATTGGTCTACCTGAAAATCATGATGAGAAAAAGAGCCTGGACAGTATCTTTCAGGAAATCATAAAAGAAAACTGCCCTAAGGTCCTAGAACCAGAGGGTAAAATAGCCATAGAAAGAATCCACATCACCTCCTGAAAGAGATCCCAAATTGAAAACGCCAAGGAATGTAGTAGCCAAATTCCAAAATTACCAGGTCAAAGAGAAAATACTGCAAGCAGCCAGAAAGAAACAATTTAAATATCATGGAACCATAGTCAAGATTACACAGGAACTTGTAGCTTCTACATTAAAAGACCGTAGGGTGTGGAATATGATATTCTGTAAGGCAAAGGAGCTTGGAGTACAATCAAGGATCAACTACCCAGTGAAAATGAGCATGATCTTTCAGGAGAGGAGATGGATATTCAATGAAATAGGGGACTTCCAAACTTCCTGATAAAAAAAAAAACAGAACTCAACAGAAAATTTGATCTTCAAATACAAGAGAGACATAAAAAGGTAAACAGGACAGAAAAAAACAACATATTATTAATAAGG